GAATTCCTTTTAAGAGGATAAGTTGAAGCTTTTCTGGAAAATAAAAAAATATGCAAATTTTCCAAAAACTTCAAAATTCCATTTCAAATTAGGACGAGAATCTTTTGTGAATAAATAATTAAAACTTGGATCCTTAATCAAAAAAAAAAATATATATATATGAATTTTTATCCAGTACAGATATAGTGTGCTGTGTGGTCAGTTTTGAATAGATTTGATTTTGTTTCCTTTCTTAACATTTTTTCYTCCCTTTTTTGTTGGTTCTTCTTCAATTGAGATGTTGAAGTTTTGAGGCTGAAATATTCAAAAAATTATTATTATTATTTCCTACTGACATTTTTGAGTAACTTACAAGAAGATTTACAAATTTAAAAATTGGCATCTGAAAACCATCTAGACAATCTAAATGTCATTGATGTTTATTTATATATAATTTATAATGATATTATTATTATTTTCTAAGACTACCTTATCCTTCTTTGTTATGAGCACGCAAATATTTAAAACAATTGACCAGTTCACTATACAAAATATGAAATTTAATTAAACTGAATTCTAAAGCTTAATCGTGTCAGTCAGGAGTTCCTTCTTACTGTGGCAACCTCGTTGCAACTAGGTGTAATTATTTAAATAATTTATATTTACTTTTACATAGGATATTTAATTATGTTATTATTATATTAAGTATTYAAGGGTAGGGGTAGATCTCATAAATTTTAATCATATTTTAGATTGTATTGTAGTAGATAGGAGGTCAACATCAGCGAAAGCTGCCATCCCGATATCTTAACCTTGTTACAAATTAAGTATGTATGTATGTATGTATGTAGTCATTTGAATAATTAATGAAAGATAAACTTCTTATGCTTGGGAAGTAGTTTACAATTTACTCAGATTGATTAAGGGAGGGGGGGGCAAGTGTTTTAACCTACACTCATAAATCTGCCATACCTTTAAGATACTGAAAGAGCACATGAGATTTTCTGATACTGACATGACCCCCCCTGCATTATCAAACTCTCCACAGTAGTTGGGGGCACTGAATAGAGTCACCASCTGTTCAAAAAACAACACAAAAGCAACATTGATAAGGACTAGAATCGATAAGTAAGACTTAAAAAAAGTTAAATAGTAAAAAACAGAACCTCAAAATCAGTGTCAGTAGGGTATAAAGTTAAGTTTGCATCAACTGTTAACCTACTGACATCCTACTGTTCTACAGATGGTACCCTACCAATTCCTGCTAAACAGCCGTTCACACCCTGCCATCATGATTTTTAACAACTGAAGTAATTTCAACTAATTTATTTTGGGTGYATGCTCTAGAAAAAAATAAAAGATTTTTTACCACGTTTAGAAATAAAGCATGCAGGGAGAAAAACTGAGGAAGTTTGGGTTAGGCTTCGCGAATTTGCATGTCCCCCCCTGTGATTGGTTAGGTTTAGTGGCGGTGTTGGGGAAAGGTCATTGTTTTCTGTTCTACACATGTGCGCCCTCCAATAGGATCACATCTTGGAACACCCTAAAAATCTGCAGCAATCATGCTTATTAACACAATTGTGAATTTTCTCACTTTTTGATTGGTTTAGAGCAGGGAGAGAAATAGACATACCAACAAATTATATCAGCAAATCATGTGCGCTATTTGTGGCTAAGCCTCATGAGTCCACAACATTTTGAAGGTTAGATAACCAAAATCGTGGTAAATAAGAGGAGACACCACGGACAACTGAATGAAATTGGTTCACTGTTTGCTAATAGAGCACGATTCTCAACMAATCAGGGCCTGTATGCTATCTAAGCTATAAAATAATTTTACTGATAATAACAAGCTGACTCACTTTTCTTTTTTCAAAAAATCTGTATCCATCTTCAACAACCTGAAATATATTATAAGACAAAGGTTTGAAGCTGTGAGGTTAAACTTCTGTCCGAATTCCAATAATAAAGGGCACTTGCATTTCTTTATTTTACTGTGAAATTTCCTTAAGAGGTTTTAAAATTTTCATCAGTTCATGCCTTTGGGGGTCAGTTCAAATCTTGGCTCAATAATATTACTGTTTGCTTGATGTGTTGTTCTCTCTCTTACCCCAAGTTTTTCTCTAGGTTCTTTGGTTTTCCTCCCTCCATAAAAATCAACGTGTGTGCTGTCAATAGTTAATGTAGTGGTAGTGCATGAGTGAGCTAGCTAACAGAAGAGCTGCCRAACATTCAGTGAATAACTGTTAAACAAAAGTTTACCTCATAATATAGGAGTATTTACTATACCTGGTGTGCACGTGCAATAAGACTAAAACCATATTTATCTAGAGTTTCACGTAAGACATCTCCTCCAAATGTCCAGGACACGCCTCGATCATTGTCACCCCAGCCAGTAATGTCTTCATCAGGGTCAGACCACAATAGGTCACAGACAAGACCCTTATCTGGTACTTCTAGCGGCCTGTCTAGCTGTCTGACCTGAAATGAAATAGAGGTCTTTCAGCATGCAATTGACGTCATCAATAATTGAACCAATTACAGTGGATGACGTACATCACTCAGCTTATCAATCAAAATGATATGTCACGGCCGTGATGATTGGGCCAATTAGTCTTAGCTCCATCAGATGTTGTTGCTGGCTCAATGCCAATGGTCAAAATGACAGTCAAAGCAAAGATGCCTGGCTGTTACTTCTACTTCTTCTTCATGGGAATGTACTTACAGCATGCATAATATATTATCGCTTACAATTCTACATTTAACGATAAAAAATAGCAATAACAACTGTGTTTCAATGTTGTTGACATCATTATCAAAGTGAAACAGAGTTTGAATGAATGATATAAATTCTCAAGGGAGTGCAGTTAAGCAAAACCTTTTGCACACACTTCTTACACTTCTACACCATGATATTAGCAGTCAAATGAAATCATGGCATAAATGTGGTAGCAGCTTCAGCAAGATGATGATAACTTACTTGATCAAGATCTTCTAAGTCAGGGGAAAGTCCTCCATGCATACAAAGTATGGTTTGTTCTACAACTGCAGCTGCAAGACAATAAAACAATAAAAAAACAGTCACTATAAGCTCTTGCAAATCATGTTATGCATACACTGCATGAATGATTACATGATCAAACAGCTTGGAGGTAACCATGGTAACCTCAAATGTAGAGGTAACCGTAGTTACCTGGTACTTGTAGAATATGTCATACAGCCTTTAAATGTAGAGGAAACCATGGCAACCTAGCATTTGTGTGCTAATGTAGAAGTAACCATGGTAACGTAAAGGTGCTGTACTCACCAACAGGTAAACAGTTAAAGCAATCTGTAAAAGTTTTCCACAATTTGATGTTGTATCGTCTTTTGCATTCATCATAAAATCCATAGATCCTACAGTATCAGAAATTCAAAAGAAATTAAATAATTAAAAAAAACATCCATCATTTTTTGGCCTGGCATGAAGTACTACAAGGCTATCTCTGGGGAAGGTGGGTTTGATTCCCGGCTGAGCTACGTATATGTGAGTTGAGCTTTTTTTCCAAGTTCTCTGCCTTTCACGACAGTTTTTCTCCTGGTTCTCTGGCTTTCCTCCCTCTGTAAAACTAAACCTGTGTTGTAAATGATGAATGTGATAGTATATTAGTGTGTGTGTGGGGCTAACCTCATGGAGGTGGTCCTGAAGGGATAAAATGATGGGATATGCCTTTTTGGGRCTGGGAAAATGGGATTTTATGCACTGGGAATAAGATTCACAAACAAAAAATAAACAATAAAAAAATAGAAATGGGATTGAGATTTGGGAAAAACATGGGATTTGGTCGAAATGGAGGCTTTGAAACAAGATTTAGGACCCCTCCTTCAGCACACTACATCAAAGAGCCTCTTTAAAAATGGGGAGTGTCACAGTTGTAAAATAGTTGTTTTAACCTGTTTATACTTGCACTTTCATGATTCCCTCTCAATAAATAGAATTTGTCTGGATATTTGACTTTGTAAGCAAGCAGCAAGCAGATGGTTTCTAGAGACTTCTTTCCTCTAAAAAACAAAAATTAATAAGTATATCTGTTTGCATTTCAAACATGTTTTGCTTCCCAGATTGTGTGTAATGTTTTACCATTGCAGACCATGTGTCATTTTATTCTAGAATAAGATTCTTTGTTTGAGTTTATCCATGTTCATGTTTTTCCATGTCAGGCCATGTGTCATTCTCTGGAGAATATGATTCTTCATTTTAGTTGTATCCATATTTATGTATCRCGATCCTTTTCATGCCAGCCATTAAACAAGGAAATCTTATTCTTAGGAATGACGTGTGGTTTGAAATGGCAAAGTACCRTGAGGAAAAAGAACTACTGCTGTATCACTTCCGCACATATGAAAGCTACTCATATATTGTACAGGGCTCAAAATAGAAAAATTTTTTTAGCCTGCCATAGTAAAGGAGCATGGCAAAAGGAGGTCATTCCAGTAAATTTTACAAGCCATTTTAATAGATATCGCAGTGCATTGTTATATTTGCTTGCCAAACCTGAAATTTGGCCTGTCATTTGGCCATTGGCAGGCCACTATTTCGAGCCCTGTTGTATCTTGTATATATTCACCTGTCAACGTAGTCACCCATAAATAGATAATTTGCCTCTGGGGGATATCCAAGGTTGTCAAAATGTCGCAATAAATCATCATATTGTCCATGTATATCACCACAAATGTTCATTGGCACACTACACTCTAAAAGCATTGGCTGTTGGAGAAAGATCTCTCTGGAGACTTGGCAAAGCTGTCTTATTTGAACCTCTGGTAACTGGACCTGTGAAAATGCTTTTAAATTATCTCATTCGGCATATCACATTCTATTTTTATTTTTAAACCTAAATTCCCTACGGCACACACATACGAAATAAGTTCGGCATAAAAACATAAACAAAAACGTTTATTTTAACGAAGTTTAGCTAAATAAGCACATGAGCAAACAGACGAGATTTTTTGTTGTACAACGATTACTCAGTACAAAGTACATACAAAAAATGTACATTCATAAACGATATTTTTTATCGATATAACAATAACATTAATTGTAGTGTTATTGTCGAATAAAGATGACTAGTTTGAGTTCTTGTCAACCATTGATAACAGTCAAGTGTTATGGCTGGGTTAAAGGATAATGATATTGATAAAAATCTTTCTTACCTGTTTTCCTGGTGTGTTTTTGTAGTCAAGCAGTTGTTGAATCGCACTATCGACGTTTAACCCAAATTTTCGACACAAATCTGTCATGATTATGATTATTTGTATTTCTTTTTGCAGTCTTTTTGCTAGAAAACCCAAAGGGTTTAAAATAAAAGAAGTTTTCTTCGGGTTTTTTCAGCGCAGTTGGTCGCCATGTTTGGCTGCAAATGAGTTTGACTGGCAATTATGACGTCATATAAAGCTAACAGAAAAGATAGGCTGGATGAGAATGGACTGAGGAATGTGGAATCATATTTCTCCACTCCTGAGCTATAAACTGTTYTACTTGGTTAATTTGAAAATCTATGTAATTTATAAATACAAGGAGGCCCCTTTTAAAGAGAGACGATGTTATTTTGATAGTAATTGAATAGTGTTCAGACCTTAGGCAGTAAAAGGTCACCAATAGACATAGGCAAAAAAACCTTGCCGATTTTTATTTCATTGATCTATTCCTCATTTCACAATCATAAYTAGGAATAGTGTATTGATATAACATAAGGAAATACCATCTCCTAAAAGAACAAAATTGATATTTGCTATGGTGGATTTTTCAACTCAAAAGTCTAGTTCCACCTTTTGAATATTTTGATTATTGTATATCGGACCGAGCTTCATTAACTGCCCGGCATTGATCTAGTACGAAAATGTATCCAATAGCATTTTTTTCATGGTATTTCCCACAGATGAAGCTGGCTGGTCTGAAGTTTGGTAGCTCATACGATGTAAGTAGGGTTGTATTTCCTTAAAACTAACATCAAAGACATTAGCTAGATCGGATTGTTGGTTGGGCTTTGGCACATAGTCTCTTCGATTCATTGCTTCAGCGATACAAAGAACTTTCTCTGCGAGTGATTCCCCAACCTTTTCTCTACATATCTGCCTTTCATGTTCATTGGRTAATGTAATAACATTAAGTTTAACAGTCCAAATCTCCCATGGGACAGATTCAGCTCCGAACAGCCATTTTCCTTTTTTCTTTTGGTAAAATTCAAGGGATATTTGTCCACTTTTCGACCCACTTTCCTCCCTCAAAGCATCCTTAAATTCTCGTACTTGTTTACGAATATATAAATCCAGTTCATTAGAGTCACAACGGACATAAGTAAAGTCTACAAAATCACAATCCACGTCTTCAAACCCAACAGTTCCAATAGTGTAAGAGCCTCCATGTTTGTAGTTAAACTTTCCTGTAGTTCTGTGAAACAAGATTGTGTGGAATAAACTCAGTACAGCTTCTTCTACTTGTCTTCCTTCCAGGGACAGCTCAAAAACCTGTGATCGGGCGTTCATAGTCTTATTTTTTCCCTTTTTCCTTTCTATAAAGTCAAATCATAGTCTTCTTCGTTTTGTTGTCATTCTCGTCGTTCTTACTAACGATCTTATTCCGGAGTGAATCCGAATTCTTCGCGAATAGTTAACGAACTCATACCGAGGCGATACCGCTGTACTTAACGATCGCATCTTCCAGTCAGTGTTGTGGCTGCCATTTTATTCTGTTTTTCTGTGAGAGTTAACCTCAAAAGATGGTGTTTTCTTTAATCGCAAGAGGAGGAAATTGGCTAAGGACGGCTTGGGTGACTCAACCTATATTATTTGTATCCTGTGCCATGGGATTTGCTGGTAAAAAAAGAAGATTTGTACCTTTTTTTCTCGTGTGATGTTTCATGTATCTTGGTGTGGATACCAACCTTAGCTTTACTGGTTGAATTAACTTTTTTCATTTGTTGAATAAGAAAATCAAACTTCTTCTGCAGTTGCTAATGTGCCTTGCTTTAAAATGTTCTGAGAAAAAATATCTTAAGACTCTCTTTGTATTTTTGTGTGAACGTTTTTGTGTTGAAGTAATCTAAATTGATAGACAAAAACATGGCAACCATCTTGATGCATTTAACAATGGATGTTAATGAGAAATCTTTTGTTAAATGGTACCAACATGACCACGATAATGCAACGTGCAATCAAAGCAAAGAATATTGGAAGCAATTCAAATTATACCAATGTTATCTTTTTGCAGGACCATTAATAGTGTACTTCAGTCCATTAACAGCTTCAGCAATAGAATCAATGAAAACCATACCAGAACATTATCCATGTAAGTATACCTACTTTCTAAAAAAACTGTCACAATCTTAACACCCAAAACACAAAAATACACCAAATTTGTCAGYGGCCTTTTGTAGAGACTGTGACCATATTGCTTTCTGGTCTAGCATGGGTGGACTTGGTAGGTTGAAGCTAAATCATGTATTAATGTCATTTAACTATAGACCCCTTCCACTGAGTCCAGAGAGGAATTGTACTAGGGGACAAAAAATTGATAATAATCAATGCAAGGGATCTCAGTGCTTGACATGCACTCACTTGTTCTGATTTGTGTAGTATACTTGGTTTCCCATCATGCTTTGTGCTAGGCATTCCTGGTTGTGCGCATTCCCTATTGGCTGTTGCCACAAAATAGAGTTTTAGTGGATGTCAACCAGTGTTTTTGCGACATTTTCTGAAAACACAAAGTTTTTCATRCCTATTGGAATGTCTGCTGTAATGGAGATTCCACCACATGGTATTGAGAAGCACTGTARGATCCAAATTAAAGTAACATACTCTTCTGGGGAAGCACGGGTGGCGTAGCAGTGTGAGCGCTCGCCTCTT